CCACACACACACACACACACACACACATACACACACACACACACACACAGACACACACACACACACACACACCACACAGATACACACACACACACACACCACACAGATATACACACACACACACACCACACAGATATACACACACACACACACCACACACATACACACACACAGTATTAATGGATCCAAATGGAACTAAACAACTGTGTTTCCAAACAAAACTCAGATGCGCCCCCTGTCCCGTTACCTTGATGTCACGCGTCACATAACCGATCCTGTGGTCCGTCACACGATCTTGACTGAAGTTATACGTGCGAATTCTCTCCGACTGAGATCGAGTGCCGACCTGAGACACAAACACATTTACAATGTAATAAAGCCTGTTCATGTTATTAAACGTCATTATGAAGTGTTTAAAGTCACTGCAGTAAAGGGTCGTTTGTAGTATTTGGTTTGATCTGACAGGTAACTCACCTGTTGTCTGCGTGCGGCGTGCGTCTGCGCTGTCTGCCGTCCCATGATGCTCTGGTACAGTCGGGCCCGGAGCACACGCAGCGCTGCGTCACGGTTCTGCAGCTGAGAGCGAAACTGCTGGCATTCAGCTACTGTTCCTGAAAACAAGACAGAGTCCAGACCACAGGATAATCCAGACCAGAACAAGAACAAGACCAGGCAGCACTCGTCAAATTCATCTGAAAGATACACATTTAGACATGCACTGATAATTTACACTATAATTACCACTGCGTAAATATTATTATACGATTACTGTATTATATATATAAACATTTTAATATAGAAGTATTATGGAAAAATGAAATGTTACTTTTAAATATGAAAGTAAAAGCATCAGTAGGTAGTGGAAAAATCCCTTAATGAGTGAGTCATGGAATCATTTGATTCGTTTGGTAACAAAACAGCTGTTCATCTGTGGATTGGTTTGGAATTATTTTCACTGGTGAAACAGTAATTTAAGTTATTATTAACTACTTGTTTAAAACAAATCACTATCGCATTTGCAGTCGTGCTCATATTTATGAAAACAGCTCCCTTGCTCTGTGATATTGCTTAATTATAGCATATGTTATAATAAAAAAAAAAACAGTGGCTCGGATGCACCCGTGGCAGTGCTCTCGCTCGGACGCACCCGTGGCAGTGTACTCG